TTTCCTAGTTTCCTTCAGATCCAAAACCGGCAAAATATAACCACCCACCCGAAAGAGTGGTAAGTAAACCTCAAATGCTAATCCAGATCAGGCTGCTACATAAAAGCAGAAGTTACAACCAATATCCACGCAACGCCCACACATGAGGGGACGACACCTGCTACGCAATCCTATAAGAGAATGGGCACATCCTGCCCTACTCTCACATCCCCCCCATATCAGATGATCCATGAACAAAGTACGACATGTCTCCCTTGTTGTGGGTACAAATCAGACGAGATCGAACCAGGACTCGATTTCAACACCACATCAGCTAAGGCAAACCCAACCCACGCGGAGCTAGGGCACCTCTAAAATTATGGAGGAGCTGAATACGGCCACCAAATCTAAAAACCCCCGTGCACCGACTCATTGGATCGAGGTAAGGAAAATCTCAATTTGGTTTACCCTCTGTTGTCTGTTTAAACAGGAACACAAGCGTCGTACGGGCAATCGAGCAAAGGAGCATTCCAACTAGAGACAATGGAAGGAAAACTACTACAAAACAACTGGAATGTCGCCCAACTCAAACACTTCAACTTTTGAAAAATGACGCCCCTCAAGTCGTATTCTTTTTCCCTTACCCGGGTTTTATCCCAATTGGGTTTTCTCGGGGAGGTTCTAAATGAGGCGATGAGGGGGACGTCTCTAAGTTCAAGGTATAATTCATCGCCCTGCCTACCGACGAACTCTCCAGGACAAACGATGAAGGGACTAGATATAGGGAAATTCCAATATATGCATGAAACGAACGCATACCGCACCCCCCAGTTAGCAAAACAGCAACATTTTATACTCCCCGTCATCATACTCCAATGCAAAAAAAATTAAGCAAAATGGGACTCACCCAGGGAATGCAAAAGTTAAGCAAAACAGGGACTCCCCCAGGGGACACCCAAAATTCTCTAAAAAAAATGGTTGTATCGAGTACGCCAGGATCCGCTCCGATGTCTACACAGACGGTATGGTAGCCAATGATTCGCCAAAACCTGACAATGAAATAACAAAAGAGAAGAGTTCGACCTCGTTCGAATCATAACGGGTTAACATTTCGACATTAGCTCGAAATAACACCCCTTCGGCCAAGGGCCATAGCCAAGAGAAGAGTTCAACCTCGTTCGAATCATAACGGGTTAACATTTTGACATTAGCTCGAAATAACACCCCTACGGCCAAGGGCCATCGCCAAGAGAAGAGTTCGACCTCGTTCGAATTTTTGGCTCGAGTGTCGGCCCTGCGAGCACTTTCAATTCCAGCATGTCGACTGAAAGCAAAAACAAAAAGAGAAAAGAGTCGGTAAAGGTCAAGGTCGCCAAAAACAAAAGGCACACGAAAAAGAACAAAGAGGAGAAACTTACCCTCAGGCCATAGCAACCACTTCATGCATCAAATCAACGTCACGGACGTCCCGAAGAGCCTCGTACTCTGCGGCAGAGCACAAAAGGTCAAACTGCGACACCAAGTCTTCCGTGTCCCGTAGAAGGTTAATCTCCAACGGAATCTCAAGTATGCAGGACGGTCCTCCCGCTCTTACCACCGTGCGGGTAAGGCCCTCCTCGAACATTCTAACATCATCAGGATCAAGATCAGATTCAGACTCGTAGTCGTCGACCACGACACCCTTTCCCCTCTCTGCAGCTGAAGAAGAAGCACGACTCGGTCCGGAAGACGAAGGCCCACCCAAAGTGGCAACAGCGGCCTCGGGACCCCGACTTCCCGTCATAGTAGTCGGTTGATCAATCACAGTAGCCTAAGCCTCTGCCGTCGGGGTGGTCTCGATCGCCGGGTTTACCTCTGCGCCCGGGTTAGCACCACCACCCACTTCAGACACTGCCTAGGGAAGGTCGCCCTCTGTATATACTGCGGCTCAAGAAGCCATTTCGGATTCCACTCGCCGCCTCTTCGACGAACCCTCCCCATCCTCAGCACGGGAAGATTCACCCGTTGAGCGGGCAGTAGGAGCCGGAGTCCCAGGTTGGGGAGCAATTCCATGCACACGGCTCAGGTCGTAGGTTTGACTGGAGTAGCCCTCGATGTAGGTCGGGTAGCAGACCTCGATATAGGCCGAGCGGAAGATGTCGATCGACAGAATGCAAGCGAAGGAGCCTTCGTCCTTCGCACTCTCCCTGTTAACAGTATTGATCGCGTAAGAAACGAGATCAAATTGCAAGGAGAAAAATAGAGAAGCTGCGCAAGTCACTTACCAGTAAGAGGCTTATGCCTGTATTTCTCATAGAAGGACGCCCATTCGCGAACCCCCACCGTATAGGGAAGAATGGCATTCACCCATTCGCAGATATCGTCAACAGGCGTAGGAGGTAATTTCTCGGCTGCAAAAGTAAAAACGAATTAACAACACTGCCCAAGGGAAAAGGATCGACCACCACTCCGACATGAGATACAAAAAAACTTACGTGCGAAGTTCCACCTCTCAGGGAACCCTGCCGAATCTGTCATAAGATGCTCGGTCCGCACATAAAAGTAGCTTTCCTATAAACGGCAATTGGCTCTATCATCCATCTTCACCACCAGATTTTTCGTTCCTCGATGGCGCATGTGGATCATCGTGCCTCGAATAAGTTGAGGGGCAAAAATATTGACCATATGCCCCAGAGTGATCTCCCGACCGGCAAGCTCCGCGAATTTGAGCAGCATGAGAAACAGCTTGTATACGTACGACGAAAGTTGAGCCGGGCCTACTTCATAGAAATGGCAGAAGTCTACCACCAAAGAAGGGAGAGGAAGCGTATGCCCGACAATAAAAGGGTATGCGTAGAACAAATAGTATCCTGGGCGGTCAAAATGTACAATATCATCTCCCACCGCCGATAACATCTCGACATGGTGCGGAATCCCCCATTTGGTCTTAAGCTCCGCAATCGCCGCTTCATCCATAATAGAGGAAACAGGCTCCGGTTCCTCTCCGGCAGGGCTGTTAAAATCGGTCCATAACTTCCCCGGACGGGGCAATATTTCGGTCGCTATTGGAACCCCCTCATCCTCTGCCATCTCTACTCTTCCGGAAGCAAGAGCGTCATTTTACGGTACCGAAACTTCGGCAAGTCTGTCAGCGCGGGAAGAAGTACCAGCCATTTGTCTCAATTGAATAGAGTGAATGAGCAGGGGAAGTAAGAGGGAAGACAGCAACGACAATTTCCGACTAACAAGAGAGTGAACTAAATATCTGAAGTATCGGAGAAGGTAAAGACTCGTAAATTCCTTTGATAGATCGAAAAGTGTGGTAGTAGAATGGTGTTTTCCCCTATTTATAAGAACATAAATGCCCCGAGCGGGAAACCCGAGAGTCGCCAATCAAAACTGATAGGGCACAAGAAACGGTTCAATCCATAAGGAACGTGTGTCATGATGACAGTGACTACAAACGACGATTCAGATCAACACAACGGTTTAACTCCGAACGGATGTGACGGTCCAAGGGTATCATTGAAGCGTCACGCCATCGCTTCGATCTAAAAAACCTCCCTCAAGGCGTACACATCCAGATTTCTCCTAACTTTCGAATCGACAGAGTCCGCCCGTCGAACCCGCTAAGAGACGACCTCGACGGACGGAGGGACTAACTGTATGGGTCAAAATCTGACCGTAGTGCCCGTCCCCTAACACCAGGAATGATGGGAGGTCGACCAAGCTGGGATCCCACCCAGGTGGCGAAATAGCAAAGAACACCTCAGCCATCCTCGGAGTCAAACCATCGAAAGCATGTTGGTCAAAGACAATTGAATAAAAGTCCTAGGAACTATATATATATGGGGGTAAGCTCAGAAAGAAAAAAGGACTTTTAAGAAGCAATAAAGGGACAACTGACGAGAGAAAAGAAGGAAAGAAAAAGAAGAATCTCTGGCGGATGAACAGTTGCTTCACTTTTTCTTCTTTACTCATTCATTTACAGTTCTTTTTCACCTCAGATGTAAGCTCATCTCTCGTTTTTGATGTAAAATTATCAAATCAACAAATCTAATATGTTCCTACCTTTCGTTATTTCTCGCTGCATAAGTTTGAATCTGAAGTTAATTATGCTTGGCTAAGATTTACCTTCTTTATTATTGATAATTGAAGTTGGCAAAAGAGTCTTAAACTTTTTATTCAAATAGTATTAATAGAATTTTTTACCACAATTAGGAATGTACTATATTGGGGTTTTCTCCTCCTATATAAAGGAGACCCCAATCATTTTGTAAGGACCATCTCAGATTATTCACTACAATAGAACATTCTACTCTGCTTTCCTTGTTCAACCTGCTCAACAATTATTCTTCAGCTTTATTGTCTTTACTTTATTGTTCATACTTTATTGTTCTTAGCTGACCTCGAGGTCCCTGGGATAACCGAGCTCGAGGCCCCTATTGCTCCATCAACACTGATTTGGTTCATCATTTCTTCCTACTTAATCTTAATATTACTTGCATAATCAATAGTATTAGAATATATCACATATCTTTAAAATCACAAATTATCTTTAATTGTTGCCTACATTTTTCGAGGTAAACATTGACATTTCTACAATAAATTATTTAAAGTAAATATATAAGAAATAAAATTGTAAAAGTTAAAACCACCTCATCTCTAGACCTAAAATTTACACTGTTTTGTGCAACATAACCACCAAAGGATGTGGTGCAGTGGATGGGACTGCTCTTCCCTTAACCAGAGGTCTCGGGTTCGAGCCCTGGGTATGGATCCTTGGTAGGGAGCGCTTCCCCCGAGTGGGGCCCTATGTGGCGCGAATCCGAATATAGTCGGGCTCCAATGCGGGTACCGGACACCGGATGGGAAACCAAAAAAAAAAAGGCCGGAGCTTTGCCAATCTTGCAAACTTTACTAGGGTTACACAACTAAATAGTGAAGAAAAATGGGGAAGAACTGTAATATCGAAAAGTCGGAGGGTCTAAAGGACACGTTATGGGGCTTTTGTCAATCTCGAATACTATCTAGGGTTTATATATATTTTCCTCTTATAATCGCAGTAGCTTCTATTGGTCTGATTCTCTACCCAAAACACAAGCAGTAGTTGCATATAGCGTTGGATCAGATTTAGGAATCAAGATGGACAAGAGTATGATTGGAGATTTGGATTCGCTACCTGAAGCAGATAAGCTTAAAATGGCCGCCATGATTGACCAGCTCCAAATCCGTGACAGGTTCTTACATTTACCCTTTCCGTTTGATATTTATATGCACTTTTTTCACTTGGTGCAATAAATAGGAAACGAATATCCTAAAGGTGTCAAAAGGAATTAGGTTAATTAATCAAAACCACGATTTACTGCTTGCTGTGCCATTAATTCATGCTTATATTTTCTTAGCCGGTTTAAGCTAGCATTTAGAATTTTAACCTATGCACCTTTTCTTATTCCCTAAAGCTGATTTTATATTTCTTTCACTTAATATTTAAATTAAGAATGGAGAGTATTTGGTAATTTGTTCGAATGGTGGTTTTGGAAAGATTGGATCAATGTATATAAGTTAATTAGGCAGTCTATTCAGCATGATGTTTGCTGGTCTTATACTCCTAGGAGCAGCAATCAGCGCTGATTTGTGTTGGATGGTTGTATACTGCTAGTCTTATACTCTAAATGCAAATAAGTCTTCACAAGTTGATTTGGATTTAGTTGTTCTGGAGGCAGAGAAAATGATGGAGGACAGAAGCTAGTAATATATTGACATTACAAAGTAGAAATCGATGATAACTCTAGGGCTTCAGAAGCATAGCTTTCCTAGAGAGCTGTGATGTTTGTAAATATGAGAGAGAGAGAGAGAGAGAGAGAGAGAGAGAGAGAGAGAGAGAGAGAGAGAGAGAGAGAGAGAGAGAGCTATGGTGTGTGTGTGCGCGCGCGCGTGTGTGTTTGTTTGTGCACGCATGTGCATGAATACACACACACACATATTAAGTGAATAGTTACTGTCTAGTGCTACCCTCTTACGGCAGAGCTAATTTGTAATGAGAAGCTGATATGCTGTCTACGCAAGGCAAAGAACTCAACCTATTTTGCACCTAGGTTTAAGCTTGCCTCAAGCAAACATTTTGCATCCCCCCACAGCATAAGTCTAGTTTCATTAGTTTAAATCCAAATAAAGACTTGAAGATGTACACATAATCTGCACTATTGTGCAATCAGCCATGAACTTAGCTAGTGTAGACTGTAGTTAATGTGTTATTTTGGCTAGTTTATTCTATCACATTAGATACTTAGGCAGATGCTTAAGAAGAATCCACTGAGGAATGTGGGAGTACTGTGTTCTTGCCAAGAATCTGCTGGATGGGGTTTCCTGGCTTGTGGCATAGTTTTGAGTTTAATCCTTGGAAATAATCAGCTAATTCTGTTGTGGCCTGTGAGGTTAAGATCTCCAATGTGTGAGGTTGAAATCTCTATCAACCTTGAGCTATTTTTCGGTTCAATGAAGCTTTTGCAGGCATGCCTCGTTGGTTAGCAGCAAACTTATTCGTATCGTACCTTTTGAGCGTAATAAGCTAATTTTGCTGGATTGAGTAATTGTTATTGTAGGCCATATCTTGGTAGTGAGCCACATCACCTATTCGGTATTCATGCCATGAGTTTTTGAGAGTCCAAGCCCTTTCTTGAAAATGAAACTATAGAAAGTAACTTTTATGAAGCCCTTCTCATGGTGCGGAATGAATTAACCTTTTTTATTAGAAGGCTTCTAAAAAGTTGTAACATTTTGTTCGAAATACTGAAATGCTTCTGGAGTAAATAGTATGCACAGTTTGTCAAACTTGGTGGAAAACAACGGAAGATTCAACCAAGAGGCACATGCACATCTTGTACATAATTTGTTGATGCCATCTTCATGTTTATTAATGATATTTGTTGACTTGTCAAAATAATATTGGAGTACTCTCTGGGAAGGATTCTGTTAAGAACACACGGCAAAATATGATTAAAAGAATTAAAAATCTGGGAGGCTATCTGAGCTTTACGTAGTTCACATCAAATGTGTATACTATGTGATAAGTAGCAAATAAAATTTCTAATCAAACATCCAACTGTATTGATCTTAAGTTTGTACTGAATATGCAATTGTCAATTCCTGTTCGGATACTGATACACAAGGGAAAGGACATAGGTAAGTTGCAACATTTCACCTCCGTTAGCTCGTCTATCAGTTCTGCTCCACTGATGTGCATATTTTGTTGCATATGCTGGAAAATAGTAATTTGAGAATTGAGAAAATGAAAATAATATTTACCTTGATAGTCATAAATTAGAGACATCAGAGTAGTTGAAACTGCTATATAGTAAAAGGAAATTCAAAAAGGATTGATTCTGTAAACAAAGAATGAAATAAACTAAAATATCTTAAAGCAGAAACTTGAAGGAAATTGAAGACATTATTTTATTCTCTTACTTCCTGTCTCTTTTAATATTTTCTCATGGTATAGTATTGTAACTCTAAAGCCTCGTCTCTTTTGTCTCGAACAATTGCAGCTTGAGAATGTACAATTCCCTGGTTGAAAGATGTTTCACGGATTGTGTAGACACTTTCAAACGCAAAACTTTGGACAAACAGGAGGAGACCTGTGTCAGGCGATGTGCTGAGAAGTTCTTGAAGCATTCTATGCGTGTGGGTATGAGATTTGCAGAGCTTAACCAAGGCGCACCAACACCAGATTAAAATGCTTCTAGTTTATGCCTGCAATTCAACTCCTCATTACCGTAGGCATTGTCTATTGTGGGTTACTTAAGTAAGGAAAAGGAGGTGGAAGTTCCATGCATATCCTTCGTTTTTGGATCAACAGCTTTCCTCGTCAGATCAATTAGTATACTGTACTTTTACTTCTCAATCCCAAAATATTTCGAGTGAAAAATATTAGAAACTTGAACAGTAGAACTGGACTAGATTGCAGGTCATTTGCTGTTACCATAGCATTCTTTTTTGGCAGCATTCAGGAAAATAATGTGGTATTCAATTTAGTCAAGAATGCAGTTATGTTGCCTTTTTCGCTGTTTATGCTATTTAATGAACTTGAAGTTGATAGAGCTCAATTATTAATTAAAAAAATAAGAATTTGATATAGCTTAGTGGAAATTGTTGCTCCTTGATTGTCCCTGATTGTTACCCCCCTGTTCCAGTTTATCTGAACTTATTTTCTTTTTGGTCTGTACCAAAAAGAATGATCCCTTTCTAAATTTGGTACAATTTAGCTTAAACTTACGATTCTACCCTTAATGAGAAGCTTTTATAACCACACAAATACTTAGGACCCCTTTTTGAATTGTTACACAAATTCCAAAAGTCGTTCATTTTTTCTTAAATTCTGTGCCAGTCAAACATGTTCACATAAATTGGAATGGAGGGAGTACTATTTGATGCCACTTTTCTCCCTTTTTCCGTATCGTCTTTTGTCTCCCTCTCCTTTCTTTCTTTCCCCTCTTTCTTCTTCTTCTTTTTCCCTTTTCTTCCTTTCCACTTTTTTTTAGCCGATGGTGTATCAGAAATAATTTTTCTACCTTTCCATGTATGGTTAAGGTCTGCGTGCACACTACCGTTTTTAGACCTCACCTGTGGAATTATACTGGATATGTTTGTTGTATAGCTTAGTTATGGAATTGAATTCATCTATTTTGCCTACCTTCCACATAAGGGTTGTCAAATAAACACGGTTGCCCTTGATAATCAACTTTATTTTGGTTTCTGATTAGATACTAGTGATTCATGTTATGTCTTTTTCCCAAAAGTTAAAGCAGTGTTTCTTCCGGCAAATTACTTTGGACGGAATTTTGCAACTTCGATCGTCTATGTTGGAAGGTGTTTTCGAAGTGGCTAAATTTGCAAAAGTTCATAAACTTTCATTAGGCATTAAATGGGTTCCCAAAATTGACTATTTGTGCACTTTTTCCCACTATATGGAAGTTATTGGCCATTTTAATTCCGATTCGCATTCCGGGGACTATTTAAGGAGAAAGCATTACTATCAAGAGATTTTTCATTTTTACAAGTTCAAATTGAAGATCTCCGGTTATGGTTGAAGGAATACTCATTACATTTATGGTGGCCGGCCTATGGAATCACTTTCATATATTCACCACGACTAAATTCCCTATTTATCATACTAAGTTGGCGTTTAGTTTAGACATAAGAATTGTAAAATTTAATCAAGTGAAAATGTATTTGAAAATTAAAGTTATATTTGGACATAAATATAATTTTGGGTTAATTTTGAATTTTTGTGAGTGATTTGAGTGAAAATTTTGAAAAACAGTTTTTTTGGAGTTTTTCAAACGGAAAAGGGTCATGTTTGTCCCTGTACTCTTCAAAAATGGTTATATTTGTCCTTCGTTATATTTTTTTGATATTTTTATCCTTACCGTTATACTTTAGGATCATATTTGTCCCTGTACTCTTCAAAAAAGGTCACATTTGTCCTCCGTATACTTTTTGATATATTTATACTTACAGTTATACAGTAGGATCATATTTGCTCCTCGTCCATTAAATCTTTCCTACATGGCGCCTATATGGACTTCTTTTTCTTCCATTTTAAATATGGTCACCTATTTAAGATAATATAACTCGCCCACCCAAATTAAATATGATCACCTATTTAAGATAATGTTCTTTTTCAGCTCCATGTTTTTCGGATAGCAGCGGTAACATATGGGCAAACAAGAACTTTGAACTCAAAACCACTAATCTGATACAACTCACAATTATTGCAGTAACCAAAGTAAATTACGAGAAGTTGCACAACAACGGAGTTAATGACAAAGGTCAGTGCTTAAAATAGAGCACTAACAGAAGCCTAAAACTCGAAGAAAACTTTCAAGTTTATTTAAGAAAATGTCAAGATGAGTGAAGATTTGAATAGTGCCTATAAGCGAGACTGAACCGAGTTGTTGCCGTCGGATGAATTAAAGGTAACACTTCACTCGTTGTCCAAAATTTTCTCGCTCGGACTTGATTTGATAGGTTGTCGCTGCTATCCGGAAAATATGGAGTTGATCCGGATAAGAGAGATGGACGAGTGGGGGATTGGGAATTAGGATTTCTGTTTATTTTAGTTAGTGGGTCTGGTTTAATTGGGAGGCGGGTTAAATTATCTTAAATAGGTGACCATATTTAAATAGGAGGAAAAAGAAATCCACATAGGCACCATGTAAGAAAACAAAGGTGGAACACAGGGATTTAATGGATGAGGGGCAAATATGATCCTAAAGTATAACTGTAAGGATAAATATGCAAGAAAGTATAACGAAGGGCAAACGTAACCCTTTTTGAATAGTACATGGATAAATATGATCCTAAAGTATATAAATATATCAAAAAAGTATAACGAAGGGAAAATATAACCCTTTTTGAAGAGTACAGGGGCAAATATGACCCTTTTTCGTTTTTCAAATTTTCGAAAAATTTTAAAATTCACTTTAACTGAAAATTGAAATTTTGATGACAAACGCTGATTTAGTAAGTAATTTTTTTTCAATAAAGGTAAAAAAGAAAAAAACGGGCTCTAAATTGTAGCCGTGGATCAACCATCAAGGAGATAGCCACTCGGTTAAGACTTATCCATCAAATCAACGCGAAAATTTCCAATCCAACGGTGTAAAATTACCCAGGAATATCTAAACCGATGAACATGTTATTCAACGTATATCCACTGAAGTGAGCCGTTTGAGGTTCAAACTTTCTTTTCGTAACCTACACGGGAAACCGTTAACGCCGTTACGGCACTCGCGTTAAATCTGTCATAATTCCAAGCAACAAAATGTTTAACGGCTACCAAACGGCCCCGTCGGTGACCCCCTTGATATATTCGTTATGTACAAAACCTTATATTTTTGTTTAATATTATGAAGATTTACTTTTCTCTAAAATTCAACGGGCAAAATTTATTTTAGCTCAATTCATCTCTTAATCTCTCTCTCTCTAGGGAACTGAGAGATTTATTATTAGGTTTTGAATGAGCTTAAATATAAGGTCAGTTTGCTGTTAACTTCTTAAAATTGCGTTAAAAGTATCAGTTTATTTACTCTATTTTTTTTTTTATTGATTTTTGATCAATTTAGTTTCAGCTTTATTTTATTCAACCTGTATAGCTTGGTTAATCTGAATCGATTTTTGGTTATTTTGTTGAAAAGTTAATGTTTGGATCGGTTTTTTTTAATGGAATATATTGCTTTGAGTTTTTTGCTTACTTATAATTTTGATCTGAAAATCGAAATATGATGTTCGGGTTGAGTTATATACATAAAAATTATTAGGTTTCTAATAAAGTTGGGATTTTTTCATTGAATTTTGCTATTGGATTGGTGATTTAAGGTTTTTGAGTTGTGAAGCATGGATGAATTGAAAATAGAGGATTGCTGTACCGAGAATAAGCAATCAACGGCTGCTTCAGCTTCTTCGGTTTCTGAAAATAGTGGCAGTGTAACTGTAAAGTCATTGGAAGTATGCAGCCCGACGCCTACATCACCAGCTCATCGGTAAATATTGTTTGGTTCTCTATATATGATTTCCTAGATTAGAACCAGCATATTTGACCTTGTATACTTGCTAATAATAGTTTTGAATCTGAACATTGGGAGAGCATACTTGCGAGTTTTGATTTCAAAGTTTATCTGAAGTTTATATTTTCTTTTTCGTAGATGACTTTTAAGTACCATTCTTTGGTACTTCGGGTAAAGTTTGGCTTTTTTTAAAGTGGAATCCCTAGTCATGAGATGGTATAACACTCCAATTAATTCTGTTTCACACCTTAATTTAGGTCATTTGTGAATTAGATTAGAATTTAGTACTACTTTGTGGCGTATGAAAGTGATTCAGCAGCTGAATAGCATCAAAATGTCAAGATTTTCTGTCATGAAGACAATAGATTATTAGAGTCGAAATGTCATGCAATTTTTTCTCCTGTCATCTCCTTCATTCAGTCACATAGCGGATTCACGGTCATGTGAAATATCATGTTTCTCTATTGAGGGGTGTTTGAAGTTCACGGTGTTTCTGCTGCTAATTTTTTGGTTTTGAATGGCTGTGGCAAGATATAGATGTAGAGTAGTGATTGATGCTTATTGGTTTTGGCATTTTGTGATTCTTGCTTCCATCTGGACCACATGTAAATAATGAGATCCTTACAATGAGTTGATTTTTGCAGGAGAACCACTGGTCCAATTAGACGAGCAAAAGGTGGTTGGACTCCTGAAGAGGTAAGTAGTTTTTTGTATATGCATGATACAATCTTCTGGTGTAAGATAGCCCAATAGCCTAAAAGCTCAAGCCCTCAGGCTATAGTGAGTGGCAGTTCTCAAGTTCAATAGTGGATACTACTAAGTTACTAATGAAAAATCGTAGGATTGGAAAAGTTGGTTTCTGGTGGAACACTTTTTCTAATGAGTTTGTTTGTGCTTCTACAGCCCCATGGAATATAAACATTAATGTGCTCTATTCCTAGAATTTCTTATTTATTGTTGCTTGTCTTTTGTATGATTAATTCAGCTTTTGGTTTTACTTTGAGGAATCATGCATTGATTAGATAAATTTCCCAATGCCACAGGATGATACTTTGAGAAGGGCTGTTGCAGTTTACAGGGGGAAGTGCTGGAAGAAAATAGGTATAATTTCTTTGCTAGTTGTTTTGGAAGTTATTAAAGATTGAACAATCTTCAGCAGCTAGTTCCTTCATTACCTATCACAGATTTAAAACTCTTGTGCTGCAAAACTTGTTTTTTTTATAAGGTAATAAATTTCATTAAAGAATGGAAAACACATTCCCGAATACAAGGAGTATACCAAAAAGTAGAAAGCCTTGAAAAAAACATGGGAGATGCATGTCTGCTGTCCCTTTTCCCATTTCAAAATAGCAGGCAAAAGTAAATGTCCATGCATATAAATATTGCTTATGAACTGTGATTCGAACACACTGACACTCATCTTTGAAAGTTGATGTTGTTGAATATCAGAGGTTGTAATATGATTACTATGGAACCCTATTTCTACAAATAATATCGAATAGGAAAATGATTCTATGCCAAGATAGGGAGCAATATTTGACCGAAAGTAAGCTACTACACTTGCAGTAAAAATCATATTAGGTTGATTAAATAAGGGATCTCTAACCACTTATTATCATATGACTCTATAAGCTGGGAATAAAGCACATAAGATCTGAGGTGCCACTAGGTGTAAAAGTCAATCTAAGTACTCGGGGAAGAGTTTAGCTTAAGTACTCAGTAAAAACCATATTAGGTTGATTTCTTAATTGGCTTGCTGTAAATCCTCCATGACGAATTTAACCTAGGGCAAATCATTTGCTTTCTTTGCTTTGCTCTGATACATCATCCTTCCCAGAGACCAGCAGAGTCTTCTTTCTTGGCTAAACGCAAAAGGTCCCATGGCTGGCTTGCCTCTCTCTAGGTTGACCTTTTTGCTTGAACTAGTGGTATTTTACTCGTGCAGTGGTGTAGCCCATGGTGCAGTCAGCTATGATATAGTCAACCTTCTTCTTTAGCTGTACATAGATTTCTTGGAGGAGATAGTTGATTTGTTGTTGATTAATATGGCAGTTTTTGGTCTGGCGTAATTGTACCATCTTGGTACCTTCATTAATAAAACTTTACCTTAAAAAAATGATATACTCAGCCTTCTTCTTTGGCAGGTCAATTTACGACATGTAGTGGTTCTCTCTTGAACAAAATTATCTCAGATCTGTAGGTGGTTTATTTGTGTGTGTGTTTTGAATGCATCTCTAATTGACATGCTAGGCCAATATGTTCAAACATGTTATTACTTATATGCTGTTCTGAATTATTTGTAGCTTAGATCTAGGCTAGCTTTGGCATTTACTTCTGCAATTGGGTCCATACTACAATAAAGGTGTCTAATGGGTGGGCCGGGCCGGGTAGACTTTTTTTTTGAACCGGACGGGTTGGGGTTACGGGCCGGTTCCGGTTAATTGTTAACGGGTTTAACGGGTTCGGGTTTATCCGGGTAAAAAGTAACCCGTGCGGGTAGGGGTTTACGGGGCCGGGCCGGGCCGGGTTTACAGGTATTTCAATTTTTTTAAAAAAAGTTTTTGTACACATATTGTAATTTATATAAAATATAAAGTAAAATATATAAAGATAACAATGATTATGGAAAAAATTGCACTTATAAATTGCAAGTGCAACATGTATTTCAAATTTTCAAATTTCAAAATTCAACTCTTACAAGTTACAACTTACAAGTTACAACCAAGTACTAAATTTGACAAGTACTAAATTCAAAGTTTTTGCATTGCCCTTGTAAGTTCTTCATAATCAAATATGAACTGATTGTCCTTCTTCTGGAGTGTTAAATTCAGATGGGTTATCATGTGTTAAATTCAGATGGGTTACCATGTGTTAATATATCTCCAAGTTCCTCGTCTTCTGGGCTATCAACATCTTCACGTCCTTGATTTCTTCGTTCCGATCTAATCCAATCTCTGAAACATACTAAAACTTCCAAAGCATTGCTTCTCAATGAGTGACGGGTGTCTCCTAGTTGTTGTCTTGCTTGACTAAATGCACTCTCTGATGCAACAGTTGAAATTGGCATATTCAGCACGTCCCGAGCCATAGCGGAAAGAACATGAAATTGCTTTTCATTGTCACGCCACCATCCCAATGCTGAAAATTCCTTTGTGCAAATCTCCTTTTGCTTTTGCAAGTAGAATTGAAGTTCATCAATGTTTCTGCTACTGGTTTGAGTTGTAGCAAATGTAGAAAAAATATTAAAACTATCAACTATTTCATCATCATGCAAAGTAGTAGAACTTGAAGAAGTGGTACACTGCACAGTGGGAACATTGGCTACATTAAGAGCAACAACATCAACTATATTTGCATAATAATTATATAATATTTGTAAATTATCATTTAGATTGTTCATACAAGTAAAAATATCTGGGGTTTCAGTTGCTCCAATCTCCATGTAAGTATATAAAGCATTGATTAATTGGTGACAATCAGCCATCTTAATAGAAGGATTTAAAACATCGCCAATTAAGTAAATCTGAGGAATTGGAAAGAAATATTTTTTGAATTTGTCTTGCATTTCTTCAACAGCAGCCTTATATTTTTCTTTCTTCTTAAATTCAAAGAGTAGAAAAGCAATTTCAGCTATATGTACTAAAACCATTGTAACAGTAGGGTAGTATGCTCCAGAAAACTCAACAGTAGCTATATAAAATTTATGTAAAAATTGAATAACATCATCAATGACCTCCCAAGTAGCAGGTGTTGACATACGGTTTCTACCAGTACAATGCGCATTAGCAACTTCAGTTATTGGAAATCTATATTTGTAGCAACATTTTAAAAATATGTAAGTATAATTCCACCTAGTAACAATTTCGTCTGGCATGAATCTTGGTTTAAGGTTATACTCGGTACACTTATTCTTAAATTCCCTAATTCTAGATTGTCTGTTATTTCCTTGAATAACACCAACTGCTCTTCTAACATGAATAATCTCAGTTGAAAATAAATCAAGGCCACTTTTAACAATTAAATTATAAATATGACATGCACACGTAACATGAAAAATTTCTTCAAGTGGCGGTTGCAAATGCATTTTTAATAATGAAATTGCGGCAGTATTGTTAGAAGCATTATCAAAAGACATACACAATACTTTTTGGTTAAGATTATAAAATCGAACAACTTCATTAATGGTACTACTTATAAACACAGCAGTATGACTCTGATCTTCATCATATTTAAAAGCGATAATACGTTTTTGCATGCAAAATAAATCATTTATCCAATGACATGTAAATGTCAAATAATCATTTCCATTAACAGCATGGCCAAATAAAATTAGAAGATAAATTGAAGAATTTGAAGTCTTGAAAATTGGAGATTGAGAGAATGAGAGAAAATTGAGATTGAGAAATGAGAGTTGAGTGAAGCAATGAAGAAGAGGGGGGGGGGGGGGGTCTATTTATAGTTTTAGTGAAGGTTAATTTTGTAAACTGAAAAAAGGTTAAATTTTAAAGAAAAAAGAGGCTATTAATGCAATTAACCCGTTGGGCAACGGATCCCTGCCAGGGGTGACCGTTGCCAACGGTCAGTGGGCCCCACTGATTTCAAAAAAAAAAAAAAAAGAATTAGCTGTTATACCGGTCCGGTCTGGTTCGGTTAAACCGGTACACGACATTGTTCACGTGGACCGGGTTTGACCGGTCCGGTTAACCGTTACAAAAAAAATAAACGGACCAACCCCCTCTACCCCTCCTATCCAGCCCCACCCGGCCCCCTATGTACCGGGCCGGTCTGGTTCCGGTTTTAACCGGTCTGGGCCGGTCCGGTTACGGGTCAACCCGGCCCATTAGACACCTCTATACTACAATCATCATGTGATTCTCTATTTCGTTTTTCTCAACTTCCTGTGTTGTAATTGTTGTTTGTAATATGACATGAAATTTTCACATTGGCTATACCAGCAAAACACATTAGATGGAGAGTGTAACAAGCATATGTCGAGGATAAAATGGGAGAAGGTTGCCTGAGATGATTTCTGTTATCCTACGTAGACCTCCAAACTGGTGGTACTTAGGCATGGCACAATATTTGGATGGTTGAAGGTGTTAGAACAATACGAGATTGATCTAAAATCACAAGGAGAGAAGTCGACTTTTGGAATTCATGTGATTACTAAGAACAAAATTGAGTGGAAGCAAAGGATTCATATACGGAATATCAACTAATTGAACAAAAAGAATATCAACTAATTGGAACTAAGACTTGTTATTGGTGCACCTGAGGTTGGTGTTTGTGAAGAGTCTTTTAGTTTGATTAGAATTTGTATGTCGGTTTAAGGATAAGTGTGAGATTTGGAATTGAGTATTGGAATGGAATGAGACCAAATAGAAGAATAGATATCGAGGATTCATGTAGCCGACTCCAACTTGTTTGGCGTTTAGGTATAGTTGTTGATATATTAAAGAATGGTGAATATGTTTGTTCCATAATAGAGTCTGCCAAACCTGGTTTAACAGATGGTAAACTTGTAAGGTTTACCAACGAGCGGACACACAACTTAAACAAATGTTAACTTGTTTGAAGTTTTTTGTGAGTCACTCTTGATTTGTTTGATATCAACTGTTATTGGTTGTTGATCAATGGGCAACGTATTTCACTCAGTTCTTGATTTAAGCTTATCCTGTAACTAGATAAAAAAATCTGGTTTTATTCAAACCCTGATGTACATGCAGCTGAATTCTTTCCGGATAGATCTGAAGTGCAATGCCTGCATCGATGGCAAAAGGTTCTGAACCCAGACCTTGTAAAAGGACCCTGGACTCAAGAGGTTGGTGTTGCTTTTCTTCTATGTTAATCTGTTCTTCTAGATTGTGCTTCGATGATCTTGGTAATTTTCGATGTCCTTCAGTTTATTGGTGATTTGTGTATAGGAGGATGATAAGATCATTGAACTGGTGGCAAGGTATGGCCCTACAAAATGGTCTGTCATAGCCAAATCATTGCCTGGTCGGATAGGGAAGCAATGCCGTGAGAGGTAAGACCAGATATGGTGGTCATAAGTTGTGTAAATGTTATCCTTGTTTAATTTAACAGTTCCTTCCATATATCAATAGAGCTATCTGTTGATGCATTGCTAACTTTCACCATTGTGGGACTTAGATACTACATGGTCAGTCAAAGATATATAAATATGACTACCTTGCTTTTACCGATTCAACTTTTTCTGCTAATATCACAATCAATTCTTCATTTTCCTTTTCAAATTGGGAGAGCTTACTGCATTGGTTTAATGATGATTTTTTTCTTCAGGTGGCACAATCATTTGAATCCAAATATTAAAAAAGATGCCTGGACGTTGGAGGAGGAACTAGCACTCCTAGATGCTCATCGGATCTATGGGAACAAGTGGGCTGAAATAGCTAAAGTCCTACCTGGAAGGTAATCATTCAGCACAGATATTGAACATCTTTAGGTGGGTCCAACACTAGTAGATGATCTGAAGAAGTTATGAATTCTTCATTAAGTAGATTAAAGAGAAAAAAAAATCTATATGGCGTTTTCTGCTATTGGGTTCTAAGCAGTCACCAAAGAAAAACTACAGGAAAAAGATCCTGAAAGATTGTGTGGAGATACTGGAATTGTGTATAATGAATCAGTTTATGCTATTATGTCTTGTAGTGCGACTGTGTGAAGGCCTTTGTTTAGCAGCTAATCTTTAGGCGTAATTTAACTTAATGTTTTTTGTTTGTCCGGCTAATATGCATATTATCCCCATGATAACTGTGCTTTTCACCCGATTGTGGTAGAAAATGATAATTAAGTATGAATTTACTAGTTAGTTCTTGTATGCATATTTCTTATCCGTGGATATCACATTGATAGAAACAAATATCATTGTAGTCATAAAACATTTGATCTGTTTTTGTGTCTTACCTAGTGCTATCTGTTGGTAACTGTTGCTACTCAGAAGCTTGTATATGATTGGTTTTGAGTTTGACTTTAAGGTAGATAAGCTCTGAAGTAAAAAGCTTTTTCAGCCATTGTTCCATATAAATGACGCAATAACCTACAGAAATATACTCAAGAATACGGAATTCATTCATAGTATCTTTTACATCTATTAAACTACTTTTCTTGGTCATAAATGGATGATGTTTTATACAGGACTGATAATGCAATCAAGAACCATTGGAATAGCTCCATGAAGAAGAAGTTAGACTTTTATTTGGCTACTGGAAACCTTCCATCTGTTGGTAGGGACGGCCTTCAAAATGGTTGTAAGGACACAACTGGTACAGCTTCAGCTGAAAAGGCGCTTGTTTACTCACATAAAGGATCAGATTCAACTGAGCTTGCTTCATCAGGAACTACCGATGTGTGTAAAATAGAAAATTGTGACAAGAATCATCAAGATGCCAAACTGCTGGTTGCAAATATTGATGCTTCCAATAGTGGTCCTAAAAATGAGTCTGCTGATTCTGAAGTTGTTAGGTGGGAGGCAGAGTCACCGGTAATGGATTCTATCCATGTTAAACAAATTAAGGAAATCAAGTTTGAAGGATATGGAAAGACTAGTGAAGTTGATCAATTTAAAGTCATTGAAACTCCATTTTCTTGTGAAATTCCTACATATGGTACATTATACTACGAACCTCCACAGTTAGAAAGTTGTATTTCAATGGATTCAGATCATCTGAATATTCGACGGGCACATTGTGAATCTGATTCAAGTCCAAGTTTGTCACCTAGTTCTTTCTTGACTCCACCTAGTAGTCTGAAGGGTAGTAGTTTGTATTCACAAACCCCTGAATCCATACTGAAGACTGCTGCTAGAAGCTTCCCGAATACGCCTTCCATATTTAGGAAGAGGAAATTGAACTACACACCAGGTAATAAAATTGGGAATGCAGATGGAGATACGCATAAGGATGAAGTACATGATGCTTGTGAGGACAAACAAACTGACAGTTCAGAAAAATATGTCATGATTCGGGGAAGTTCTTCGAAAAACCCTTCTTACAATGGTATTGGGCCATGCGATACCCAGGCGTTTAACGCCTCTCCTCCATATCGAATAAGGTCCAAACGGAAGTCCATCTTCAGGTCTGTGGAGAAACAGCTTAAGTTTGCATTCGACAATGAGCAGCACAATACTAGTACTGGAATTAATGATTCAACTGTCAAAGAGATATCACATGTAGCAGATTGTTTGCGTGCAACAAGAATGGGTATCACCTAAAGCCTATGGTAAGAGCCATCCTTTCCTTCTAAACTACTAAAGTATATTGCACATTCTAGTAGTTGAATCCGAAATTGATTCTTATATACATAATTTCCTTATTTAAGTCCTCAATAACATAATATTGGCGACTCAGTTAGAGAATATTCTAACAGCTTCTTTTTTCTTGTATGATTTCTGCTTTACGTCAAGCTTTAGTTCAAACTTCGGACAAAGAATCGAGTTAACAGTGTGTCTAAGTAATCATTCATTAGAAATTTAAACTCCGCTGATGGATCACCAATAAAAAAAAGAGAACTCCGCTCATGGATCACCAATAAAAAAAAAGAGAACTCCGCTCATGGATCACCAATAAAAAAAAAAAAAAAGAGAACTCCGCTCATGGATGATGCACATGGTTGAAATCACATTTTGCCAAATACTGACAATGTAAAATCCATTTATATTGCTATTTCTGCTACTGGAAGTACTAACAGTTTTCCGATATGTGACAAAACGGTTCACTGCCATGCTTTTCTTCAACCTATACTTGTTAGCACTAGCACTATTATGTACTCATGCATGCTCTTGTCATCAATTGCGTGTGACATTATTGGCTGTCTCTAATATTTCTGAAAATATTCTTTAGGGGGGAAGAGCACGAGCATGTTTTTGAGTAGTTCCAATTGGATTACATCATTACCATTATCATCTTTTCTGTGGTGCAGGATAACTGCTGGAATCAGTATTTTTACCCTGCTATTATCCGTGACACCGGCTGTCATGCAGTTGGAATTCTTGAGGTGTTGACCTTCATGAATCAAAAGACCTCATCAAATTCCAGAAGAATTGACCTTGCATATATACGTCTGTGTTAGGTTCCTTCTGAGTTTTCTTTTTTTCTTTTCTCATCTACACCAATTATTTTTAGGTCCTTGGCTATTCATTATACATAGATATTATAACAGTGAGTATTATTGAACTTGAAGATAAGTTGCAATCTATTAGTACAGGAACTCATCTAAGTACATTGGTGGAAAAGTATGTCGAAAATAGTTGTTCAATAAGATCAATTGTTTTGCTGGATAGTATCTTCGCAGTTCATACCAGTAATGAGGTAAAACTATCAGCTTTTCTGGGCTCATATGGTTGATCTCACATGATATTTCTGTCTCAAGTGGACTCAAATGGTTGTATCTGCCAATTATGCTGTACCACTTGTGGACATCAGATAGATACTGAAACTGTGATCGAAGCAGACTTTTGTTATGTTGTTCCCAGATCAACTTCAATATTATGCCATGAGACCTCTAGATAAGGTAAAATATTGCAAAAGTGCATTGTACATGACTTTGAATAGAAGTACAGAGGCATTAAGACAAAGTTACTGGGGAAGAATACAAGCACAATTATAAGCTCAGAGGCGAATAGGCAGTTTCATCTTCAGAAAAAGGAGGGGAAGAACCTGACATTCACACTTCTCCTAAACCAATTGGAGTCCTCAAATTAGAGCGGTATACAAATTACACATGGTAAAAATTTACCTGGGGTTTATAATTAACAAGCAAATAAAATGTCTAGACTTCAATCACTTGATCATTGGTAAGTGATATGTATATGGATAAATTGTTTTGTTTAGCGCAAACATCACGTGCATGTAAGTGTTTCCCACATTGTGGGGAATCCTAAAGAGTGAATAAATGCAAAAGAAAAAGCCCCATCTCCTGCTAAACTTTGGTCTAGCTCACACGTAATGTGTGGGCACACACTAGGTGTACTTCGCAAGTTCAAACTCTACAATAAACAGACGTCTTATATCTAAGTGGTGATAGGTGTGTGTTTGGGTTGGGGGGGGGGGGGGGGGGAGGCTATCAGGTTTAGAACCTTGTGCCATCGACCCTAAATGACTTAATGGTCAAAAAAACAAAAAAATAAAATAAAATAAAATGGCAACCTAGAGGCTAGAGTGTTGTTGGATTTGAATTTAAGTCATTTAATTTTGACTTTAATAAATTCAGATTTATTAAGCCAAAATGTTCACTTGAGTTAATATATCTTGAATTTATGATTTAGTCCAAATTTTGTTAGTGACGTGATCTAATAAAATTTTACATATATAAAATATGCATACTTAGGGTGTGTTTGGTATAACGGAAAATATTTTTCTGTGGTTTTCTTGAAAAATAAGTAGTAATCTTATTCATTTTCCGGTGCTTGGTACGCAAATTAAAGAAAATAACTTCTCAAGAGTATTCATAAATAATTTAGATACAATAAACATGAAGCCGTAAACTTTCGAACCAACAACCTTCCGAACCCACAAATTTCACAAACTTCCGAACCGCTAAACTTTCGAAACCGCGAACTTTCGAACCCGTAAACTTTATAATTTCTAAACCCGCAAACTTCCAAACACATAAACTTGTAAAATTTTGAACCTGTAAATCGAAAGATGAAAAAACTAAAACTGAAAATATATTTTAAAAAAATTTCGGGGGGGGGGGGGGGTCTGGGGCAAGGAGCGGGGCGGCGGGGGTGAGCAGAAACTAAAAAAACAGAAATTTAAAATTACAAAAAAAGGTAAAAAAATAATATTTTTTGCAGGGTGGGTGGTGACGAATTTTTTTTTTTGGAGAGAGGGGGTGGGGTGGGTTGGCGTGGGGTGGGGAATAAGGTGAGAAGGTTGAGAAGGAGTTTTGGAAAATGTTTTCCCTTCTCTTGATAAGGAAAATATTTTCCTCCAATAAATGAGTTCATAAGGAAAATGTTTTCCAAAATATTTAAGCCAACCAAACATGAGAAAATTGGAAAATATTTTCCGGAAAATGTTTTTCTTCGTACCTAACACACCCTTAGTATGTTTGAACACTAAAGTTGGCTGGAGGGGGAGGGGGGGGGGGGGGGTTTGAATAAATCTTTTCTCTTATTCCCCTCCGTGGGTTGTTAAAGACTTCAATACTTCATAGGTTGAAACGAGATCATCCTAAATAGAGCACTCGTTGTAATACTTAAGGTCCACATCTTGAGTTGGTTTCTATCATTTATTTCCCGGAGAGTGAACTCCTTTTCATAGACAATCCACTCAAGCAGAGGCGGATACAACGTAAAAATAGCACGGTCTAGCCAGTTTTTGGACTGGTCATTCAAAAATAGCCAGCGTTTATCAAGTCGATGAAAAATAGCCACTATTTTGCTGCAACAGAGACCGGTCCAGCATAATATACTGGAGTTCGGTGCACCTGTGTATGAACTTCCAGCATATTATGCTGGAACTCTAACACACGGAAATTTCCAGCATAATATACTGGAGATTCGAGCACTTGTGTATGAACTTCCAGCATATTATACTGGACTGGTATACTTTGCTAGAACTCCAGTATATTATGCTGGAGTTCTAATGTACTTATGCTGGAACTCCATCATATTATGCTGGAGTTCCAGCATACTTATCATGGAACTCCAATATAATATGCTGGAACTCCAGCATAATATACTGGCGTATTTTTCGGGTTTTGAACAGTATTTTCGCTCAGATTTATCTTTAATGAAAAGTGGCTAAATTTCGATTACTTTTGAAACTGGGCTATTTTTGAACGACCACTTGTAAATCTGGCTATTTTTGAATTTCTCCGGGATACAACGTGTCAGCATCGGGTTCAACTGAACCCAATAATTTTAACGTGGAATATAAATTTATGTGTAAAATTTCATTAATATCGTAATGTATAACAATATAAACTCATAACTTTAAAATACGATTGGTTCAATGCTAAAATCTTAAATTTTAGATTCACCTCTGCACTCAAGAGTGAACTCCTTCATGAAAATAAAAAAACAAAGAGTAATAAGAGGAGAATGGTGAAGGTAAATGCCAATTACTAATCATGCATTATGAAGTTAACTAATTCTTCGTTTTGATGAAGATACAAATGTAAAGTATTTTAATTATAATTAATTAACAATGACATTAACAATCAGCCGTCTTAGCTCAGCTGGTAGAGCGCGTGGCTTTTAACCACGTGGTCGTGGGTTCGATTCCCACAGACGGCGACAGCTGCTGTTTAATGTGTTATCTTTTTTGGCATTTAATTAGTAGTTCTGTGTGAGAGGTCACAAAGGTTTTTGCCATTTTCTTTTTTTAAGTTCTTTCCTTGTATAGAAGTTAGTGACCCATGTGAATTTTCACTTACTCTTGAAAATTTCATTAAGCAAAATTTTGTCCTCATTTAAGGAATTTGTGCCAAAATAATTTGGGTATTACACACTCGGAAGATTGAAAACTTACGGTTTCACAAGGCAGCTGGCAAGTTATGACTTTAGTACAATCTATATCTTTAAATTGTTCACAAATTTTACTCTTGTTCACAAATTCTGCCACTGGGTTTTAATTTAGTAGAATTTTCATCCTACTCAATAAATTAATCACAAGCAGATTCGCAAGACTTGTCTGTATTGTTAAATGGTTCACAAATTTTGACTAACTGACGAGACTTGATATCATCTTCATTCTACCTTGTTTACCTCGAAAATACGAGTAACAATTAAATTTGATTTGTAGTTTTAAAGATATGTGATTTAGTTCAATACCAATTAATAGTCAAAAAATATGAAGTAGAAATGAAAGAGATAAGTGAATCAAACCAATGTTACTTGACAGTAATGACCTCGAGATGGGCTAAGAGCAATAAAGTAAGAAAAGTAAAGCAAGAGCAACAAAGCTAAAGGACAATGCTGATGAACAATAGGCAAAAAGTAGAGAGTATATTCTTTTCTCAGTGATTATGTGTCCTACAAATGATTGGGGTCCCCCTTTATATAATAGGGGAATCCTAAATATGGAATATTTCTATTTACAGAAGGGAATACTCCTGATGCAGCTGTCTAACCGCCTAGTACGGAATCGTACAATCATATTCCGGGATTTGCGCCATGATCTTGGGGACGTGGCAAGAAACTAGCTCATTCTGTTACAAACCCATAACGGTACTATTTCAGGGTCGAGCACACTTGGCCTTGGTATTCCACGAACTCCTATCCGGGCATTGCACTCTGTCTTCGAGCTTGAGTCTGGTCCACCGGTTTCGAACTCGACCTCGCCCGGACTCGGGCCTAGGACGGAACCTCGAGCCTATAAATTGGAGGTATACGATTTCGACCGTATACAGATAGTCCCCGCGTTTCTTAGAATTAGATGATAAGAAACGATTTGAACCTCGATTTTGAAGTGATCGAAAATTTCATGATGACGTCATGTCTGTGACGTAGGCGCTTTGAAGTGATCGAAAATTTCATGTGAGTACGCTTCCCCAAAACATCAAATACACGCCAGCACTGGTCGGCCACTAGCGCCGTCGAACCATCGTCGCCTTTCTATAAATATGAGGCTACTCTGTTGAACAAAGAACTATACGTATTTCATCTTCATTTACTCTAATTCTTTCCCTTCGTCATTCCTTTCTCTAATCATCTGTTTCCATTGTTCGAACCTGCGACCTCCTAGTCGCATGGCAACAACTTTACCAGTTACGCCAAGGCTCTCCTTTTCAAAGCTTTGATTCGCAACGACGAGAGAAGGGCGCAGAATCCTTCCTACATCATAAAATATGCGAACTTCATCCTACCGCTCATCTCTCTTAACTTCAACCTGGTGTGACACTTCATTCCTTTTGCTTTCCATGGAGTGAGGTGGCACTATCATCTACTAGCTTTTGCATCCTACACTAGTACAACGTCCCAAGGATGAACATTCTTGGATCGTTGCTCGTACATCTTGCAACCCTTTTTTGGTCTTTCTTGTGATCGAAGGTGAAGCTACATCTTCTTGTCTTCCCTTTTGGACTTTTTCTTTTGCCGCTCTTTAACGGATTATGGCCCAAACTTTCAATAGAATGCTCGATCCCCTCTACTGGAAATATAATTACATTTATCGAGGGTTCTTTGACCTAAATTTCTTCAGGCACACATGTCACACCTCTTTTTTCCCGAGGGGGATAGGGGGTTCTTTCAATTAAAAAGACATTAATCGAAATGAGATTATTTATTTATTTAGAGTCGCCACTTGGAATAATTTATGGTGTCCCAAGTCACGGAT